TAATATAAGTTAATTTTTCATAATTTTTTACTTTATATATAGTAGATTTAAATTATCATCATTTTAATCTTTACTCAGAACGAGACAGCCAATATATTGATTCTGAAACGCATTTTGAAGTAAGGACTTCAATGAATAATTGTAATAAATTCTACTTAAGGAAAAGCTGTTTAGAAAAATAATTAAAAAGATTCTCCTTTTGTAAAAGTTAAATGTAGAAAATTAATTATATACTTACTATTTACAATTAATTAATTGTGCTATCGAAATTAGAAAAAAATATCAAATTTGTATTTTTTCAATGAAATAAAATGTTTCTTTTCTATTAGAAAAAAAAACCTTTTTTTTTACATCTCTAGTCAAGGGGGGCATTTTGGCGAAATTCTCAGCTGTTGGCATAGATTGCAATAGTTATTTCCAACAACCTCTATTTCCCACACAATTTCTGCTATCCCTAAGTTTACTCATGTTTTGCAGTTATCTGGGCCAGACTAAAGGGAGCGTATCACAGAATTGAAACCAGGAGAGCCGGGGCCACAAAATACAAAAATACTCTGGCCAGGAAACTTTCGCAAAATAAATACGCGCGCACGGATACCTCTATACGCCAGTACCGACGCATCGTCGGTGTTGTGCAACGATATAGTATATGATTGTCGCGGGCAGATGTTTTGAATTTGTTCCAATCTTCAATACACCAGCGCGACGGCGTTATTTATACCCGACGAAAATGTGCAAGTGTCATAAATTGATATTTGTGTTAAACCACTCGGGAGTTAATACCGTCCCTCGCGCGTCGCCTGGCGGCATGTATAAATACGGTGCTCGCTTTTTATCAATATTTAAAGGGCGCGGGAAAAATCAAGATTAACTGTCGAGTCTAATTGTAGTGGCGACTCACCTAACAAACGCCACTCCTCTTGGTAAACCGGTCAGCTTATCCCTCAATATGTTCTTCTGCACAATGTTGCCAAATTTACTGAAAAGCTCGTCGATTTGGCTTTCCGTTATATTTCTGCAAGTATAAAATGACGTCTTTCAGTATTTTCCATGTTATAAAGAGCAATCGAGGGGAGGAAGGGTGCTGGATAAAGACTTGGCGATTTAAAAAATCTGCTCGTGGAGCAGAAAACGGGTTCAATATTTTTACTACCTCAAATATACAACACACTGCAAATTCAAGTGTGTAAATCTATCGTTATTTTTTACGCGTGTTATATACTTTATACGTGTTACATTTTTATTACACATTTTATCTATGTTTTACACAGTTAAATGCATATTTTTTTTACACGCTTACACATTGTAAAATTAAGCGTGTAAAAATACGCATGTAACTGTGTAAAACACAGATAAAATGTAAAAATATAGCACGCGTATAAATGCGTAAAAAGTGACTACAGTACATACACTTGGATTTGCGGTGAAATATTATTCTACTGTAACCGAAACGAGGAATAAAAGAATGTAAGAAATAAAGATAAAAAATGTATATATGCACTGAGAAAAAAAATTTGTTGAAAAACGCAAAATTTGTCTCATCTTACCAGAATATTTAGTCCGATACGATCAACTAAACGTTACTACGATGGCGCAAAATAATTTGTTACTATTGTAAACAAAATACTATTTTTTAACTAAACTATTTATTCAACAAAAATTTATCGTATTTAACTCAACCGTTCGATTAAAAATACACACTACTTATTATTCTCACCGTTTAGTGCAGTTTAATATTTGGAATTTGAACAAATATATTACTTGGATAACTAAATAGCACGCAAATACAAATAAATACTACCAGTATTTCGGACAAAATATTAATATATAATTTAATTGAGTTGGTTTAGTTAATTCTTGATTAAAAAATTTTGATGGTCGAACATGAATGAACTATACTTTTCTTTGTGCAACTAAAGAATTGTTGAATCAACCATTGGATCAAACAACTATTACAAATTTAGTTCGTACAATCAATTTTTGTTCTCAGTGTGTGTATTTGAAGAAATGTGACTAGATGAAATAAATTGGATAATCGTTGCGTTTATTGGAAAACGAAAAAAAAATCCAAATGAGAAAACAAAAATAATTACCTCGGTAAATTCGTAACATAAAGATTCGTTTCCTTAATTTCTTCTCCAGATGGCCGAGCGAACGAGACCTTCAGACGTTTATTTTGCACCTGAAGACCGTTCAATGTGCTTATCGCCGTCGCTGCGTCCTCAGCTTTCGCGTAGTTGACAAAGCCAAAGCCGTAGCTATAGCCAGTCTGAAAGGTGAAACGTAAAATTAGTTTGAGATAAAAGCCATTTGTATTGAATTTTACAGATATATAGACATATAAATTTGATAAGATTATTTATTCTCGTATTTAATCGATAACAAGTAATTTGAATTATGGCCAATGAACGAGCAAATATTTAGATGTAGATATAAATTCACATATTTTCAATCATACAAAAATTCTTAAGTCCTCTTCAGTCGTCTTTTACTACATTATATAAACTTAACGTTAAAGTTTTAACACATGTTTTAACGTTAAGTTTATATAATGTAGTAAAAGATGACGACTGAAGAGGATCAAGTTAGGTCGAAACGTCTCGTCAAGAATTTTCGTACGATTGAAAATATATGAACTTATATCTACATCTAAATATTTGCTCGTTTATTGGCCATAATTCAAATTACTTGTTATTTATATATATATACAGGAAATATATATAGCCTTGCCTTGTAGTCCTTCATGACTCGACAGGACTCAACCGGACCGATCGTGACGAATAGACTGTACAGCTCCTTCTCGTTCATGTTTTGCGGAAGGTAATTGATGATCAGGTTCGTTCTCGGCTCGTCATTGCCTTTGATCTGCTGTTGCTGCTGCTGAAACTGGGACTGCGGCTGTTGTTGCTGCTGCTGCTGCTGCTGCTGCTCACGCTGGTCAGTCATTTTGCGGCACTGTTGCGGCAAATCACCTCCCGACGACGACGACGACGACGAAGCCGAAGCCTGATTCGGCGCGACGATCTGATTTTGCTGCTGTTGCTGCTGCTGCTGCGCGACCGAGTCGACCACCAGCAGCTGGTGTTGTTGTTGTTGTTGTTGTTGTATACTCCAACTGGTCCAGCGCAACGACCATCGACGGGAGGACCATCATCGGCAAATACAAAAAATATAAACAAATTCATTACTACGTCTTCCCCGTGCGACAACGCCGCTACGCTCGTAGGCCAGTCTGCGCCCTCGAATGCCCTCATCTTTCTCTCTCTCTCTCTCTCCCTCCCTCCCTCTCTCTCTCTCTCTCTCTCAATCTCGCTCTCCCTCTCGCTCGCTCGCTTTCTCTCTAAGCAAGTCTCAAAATAAATAGAAAATAAATGTGCAATATATGTACTGATGCCAGACCTGTGTGTGAGAAACAAACAAACAAAGGCAAGTAAGGACAAAAACAGAATCAGATCAGGCGGGCGGGTGGAAAATCAAATCAAAGTGGGCAAGCGATAAAGTATAACAAATATCGTAAAACGCTCTGCGCGGGCGAACGAAATTAAGAACTACGCCGATCGAAAATGTCGATCTCGAATAATAATTGTAATAATCGCGCTAAACACTTTACAGGATCTCGTCCACTTTACGTGTATTTATTTGTACCACCCAGTTTACGCAGAACCAGAAATTCGTGTGTTTATCAATGCAACTTTAACGCATGTTACCCTCCGTTTGGCGATTCGTTTTGTGGGGGGGGCGGGGGGGGCAGTTGTGAGATTTTTAGTGTGAGAGAGGATCGAACGCTCCGCCGAACGGCGATCGGCGGTACAGACGGTGGTACAGTTGATAATTGAGACGCGATTACGCTGCGATGCAACCGCGAATACACAACACAATATCGCGCGCGCGATTCGAGCGCGATATCGAATTTCATTGAGTCCCCCCCCCCGCCCTTCGGCCCAACGCACCCGGCGGGAATTCGTGTATGTCGACGAGGAGGAGAGGACAGGAGTCACGCGCGCGCGCGCGCGCGCGTTCATTCAAGGGTCTCTCCTCGAGAGAGAGAGAGCCCCCCGAGAGAAAACACGCGCGAATGAAGGCGCGGAGGAGAGAATTTCCGCGCGTTCGCCGCCTATTGTTTACGAAGCGCCGTATGACGGCGGCGGCGGCGGCGGCGCGCGTTTCCGTCGGCCGATCGTCATCGTCGTCGTCGTCGTCATTACTTCGACGACGACGACGACGATGTCTGTTGCCGACGTCGTCCTCCTTTCGTCGTCAACAAGAGGCGCACAAACGGAGCGAACAACAATAAAAACATAACTAGGACGGGCAAGACAGGGAGAGGCGGGCGGGCGGGCGGGCGGGGAGGGAGGAGGATTGGCGAAGGGCGTGGAGGGGAAGGGGGACGGAATTTTCGCGGGGAACGTAACCTTTTGGCCTTATTTTATGAAGAGGCCCGGGAAAGGGCCACCACGAGAGCTGTCTGGCCCCGGCGGATTCGTGAATCGACCAAGCTGTCAGCGTTTGGAGGGAGAGGAGCGGAGCGGAAAGAGAGAGAGAGAGAGAGAGAGATGTGTACAGGCGTATTGAAGTGGGAAGAGGAAGCGAGAGAGCGTGATGAATAGGAGGAAGCGGGGAGGAGCGACGGAGAAGGAAGGAAGGGCTGGTTTCCAGTGTACGTGAATGTGTATGTAAAGTGTGTGTGTGTGTGTGTGTGTCATGTATGATTCTTACATGTGTCGTGTATATATATATATTTTTATATATATATATATATAAAAAAATATATATATACATATA